ACAAAATATACAAAAGCTTCTTTGTTTTTTGAGTTTATTGATAAAATCATCGTGTTGCAGTTTATGACGTTCTTCACGAGAGCTTGAGAAGGACCTTTCATTAAAGACGTAATGTTGATCACGCTCTCGTTACCGTTGCGATCGTCCAATAAATCTCTTGATAAGAAAATCCGCTGCTCTGTTTTTGTTTCCGGGAATATACTCCTACGTTATATTGTGATCTTGCAGGAATAAACACCACCGCATTAAATGCGGATTCATGAATTTATAAGTTGATAAGAACTTAAGCACTTCGTGATCAGCACGAATAATTATTTTTCTTGCATCCCTCAAATACGTATCTAGCTTTAAACAAAATCAAGCAACGGCTAAAAGCTCTTTCTCGGTTGTAAGATAGTTTGATTCCACAACCTTAAATAAATTCAATGTTCACGAAATAAACGTAATAACTTCTTCGCCTTCATTATTTAATTACGACAGAGCTGCTGCTATCGTATGATAGCTAGCATCTGTAGTCAAAATATACGGCTTATTTGAATTTGGATATTGTTATTGTTATTGTTACTTAAGAACGTTAAGAACTACGTCCACGTGAAACACTGCAGAGATAAACTAAGTACCTGTACGCATTAATTTTGGTTCCCTATAGTCATGAATATGCAGACTCACCTTCTCGACCATTTTTAAATGGTGTAGGAGGATAAAGTTTAACACGCATCATGACTGCACCTACAGTATATGGTGGAATTTTTTCAATAAATAATTTTTTAATATTTTCAACATATGTTTGATGCTCAGACAACTATTGGTAAACTCTACTTTGTTGCAACAAATCCATCAAAGTTCGTCAGACAGAAGCGTCATTTTTAGTAAATTTTGTGTAGAAATTAACAACCCGCTCTGTAAACTTTATAACGGGGTTTTAGCTCGAGCTCTTTTCGGGCTAAATCAGCTATATAATAAATAATTCTCGCGGATTAATATTTTAATAAAGCGAAGTGCGCTATCCAAGGCGACCCTGTGCGCCAGCGCGAACGTGCCTGGGTCCAGCTGCATCAGCTTGCCTCCTTCCTTACATAGAAATTCGGCCCGCGGAGAGTGTCGTGAGCTACAGGTTACTTGGCGAGAGACAACCTAAAGAGTCTCGCTGCGAAGTGGTTATGCAATAAGGCAGGTGTATCGGAATAAGACACTGCGGATTTTAGTAGAAATGAATCGTGTATTTAGGTACTCGCGAATACATGCAAGCGCGCGTGTTGACGAAATGTGAGCGGCAGCGAACGAGGCGACAACAAAACGCAACGCGCCGATCTTGTCAGCGACCGAGCAAGATCGGACGACGAATTCGCTTAAAGCGGCTCGAGGCAAGACGCAAGGCCGAGCAAAATGACAGAGTGCGTAGGTTGGGCGAAAAGCTAAAGCAACAAATGCAATTCGCAAGCAATAGAAGAGAGAGAGAGAGCCAAAGGGAGAGAGAAAAGAATCGAGTAGGTACTTACAGTTGTTGTCGTCGGTTGTTAGAACGACAGAAACGCGCGTACGATAGATCGTGACCACGCTTACTCTTAGCCTACGCTCGCGCGGGCGTTCTCGCTTCTAAGCTTTATAGCTGACGGAATTCCTGTCAGCATTAACTATGTGTCTTCGCTTATCACTGGCGATCTTCGGGCTCGTATAATCGCCACTGCGTACTCGCTTACTCCTTCGTAATCTCTCGTAACGCAAAAAAAAGATGTTGCTGTCAGACTATGCTACCGTCCGTACTTGTCTCTGCTCGCATGCCAACTGGTTCATTGCGCGCTCTCTTTCTCTCTCCCCTTCGCGATCGCGGTCTCTCCGCAACATCCGTGCTAAGGACTATCGATAGTATAGATCGTAGGGCTCGACTCTTACCTTGTTCGCTGACATTTCAACTGGGCTACAAATTACAAATTATTATGATGCATGGTAAGGTATAAATATGATTAATAAATAGACTGGCTGCAGGGAGAGAGAGACATAACGAGAATGCGACTCGTTATAACTTTTCAGATTTTTCGGAGCTCTATAGTTTTTAAAATTTATAATTTTTCTAATTCGTGTTTAATATCTGAAGGCGTAATAATGTGACCTAAGAATTCTATCTCATTTTGAACTAAATTTGATTTTGAGAATTTGAATGTATAATTATCTGTATGAAACATGTAAATTACGCTCGAAAATGATGCACATGCTCATTAAATGTTTTTGAGATACACAAAATATTATCTACGAACGGAATAACAAATTGTTTCAAATCGCTAATCGATAGATTCAAAGCCCTCACTAAAGTCGCCGTGTTTGTGCAAGTTCCAAAAGGTATAATGTTAAATTTATATATGTTTCCCTCAATTAAAAATACTAACTCATGCTATATAGATACTCAATCAATACTAATAATTTATTAAATATAAATATTCAAAAATATTATATTCAATATAGTGAATTATTAATTTAATTAAAAGCAAAAGAAAATAACGTTTAATATAAGATAAAACATTGTGGCTATGTAAATATTCTACACAGCACTTGAATGAAAATGAATCGGCATACAATAAATCATGAACGTAATCAATTATATCATCAAACAGTGAATTAGAAAAGTCTATGTAATAGTGTGATAAATTTTGATAACATAACCCAATAAATTAATAAATCAATAACCTAATCACCTAATTTTTGTATTGTATTCAATTAGTACATTACGATACAAGTGCGGGAAAGTAGATACTTGTCTCGTGTGGCGTTTTGCCTTTTTTGCCCGAGCGAAGTGAGTGAAATTATTTATTAAATTATTATTTAAATATTATTTATTTAATAAATTATTTATTAAAACTTTTAATAGCATTAAAAGTGCTACTCCGTACTATAAGGAGTCTCTTTGCCAATTTTATCAAATTATGAACTTTAACAAATAAGTATAAAAAACATATATTTATGAGACATCTCAATGATTAAGTCGATGATTAGTATTTTTTTCCAAATCTTGTTGCATCAAGTGTTATTTCATAGTATAATAAAATTTTGAAAGAATCTAGTTGTTATTTTTAAGAAAATATGTGGGTGTGCTAACCTAACCTCCTGTCAAATCATATGTAAGAGCTCAAATTTTACAATTTCTTCCTTTCAAGTTAGAAAAACTAAAGAAAACGCTTGAATGTTGTACTTTTGAAAGGTATTGTTGATTTTCTTTTCTTACGAATCTGATAATTTATCGGAGCCACCTTAACACTGAATCAAGTACTATTACTTGATTTAGTGTATAGGTTTATTTTAAGGATCTTATATAGAGTTAGTAATGGTATACATTTCCACATTCATAACAAAATAATGTTTTCTTGAATAATATAATGTTGATTAGATCTTTATCGGTTTTTTTTTAATTAATCAATGTTTATTACGAAACGAACTATGCATGTAACACAAACGTTATATATCAACAGTAAACTGATTGGTATCGGCCAAGTACTGAATTACATGCTTTTTCACATAAAATGTAGCCAATTGGAGATCCCGGTAAAGTTAATTTATATAACCATTTATTTCCAAAGATATCAAATAGCAAACATTAAAAACAAGCTGAACTGAGAACACCGTTCATTTTTTTCAATTTTGCAAAGTGAATAGTTTTAAGCTATTACATGACATACATGTCATGAAATCATACGTTTTTTACTAGAGAAAAGAAAGAAAAAAATTTTTTCCAGATAAAGTAGTAAAATATGAATAATATTATTTACGTTTATTAAAATATGACTTTATCCTACTATTTATTTCAGTAAGAAATAGTATATTATTTATATGTCGAATATAAATATATAATATTTATATGACGAAAAAAAAATAGAATTAAAATTTTTCATAGCACATTTATTTAATACATCTTTCTCGTTATCTATTAAGTAATTTTTTTATATAAAATCATATTTAATCAATAAATAAAAATGGAAATTTCAAGTTCATGCTGTTCATAAATCATTATTTAATCGAACTAAATTTTTAAAATCCAAATAAATATTTATGTATAATAAAGAATAATTTATAAAACAAATATTAATATTTAATAACTGATTAATTTTTACGTTGTAAGAAACAGAAGATGCGTACATGAAGAAGCTATTTTTATTTTTGCCATCAGCTGGATTCAAAGATTTATTTGTATAAGGTTATATTTGCGTCGTACCCATTAAATATTAGTCACCCACGTGTATATTACGCAGTGATGAGAATCCAATGACGCTACAAAAAAATTTCATTTTCATGAAGTCGTATCGCACCTATATTGTTTATACAACTATGCCTAAGATTCATGGTCGACAGTGCCGAGCACCTGGGACATAGTTGTATAAATAATATAGACGCGATACGATCGGATTCTCATCACCACTGATATTACCGATTTTCATCAATACGTAACTTGTAATGTATCATACTGTAAGTATATATGCATGTTTGTTTTTATGTCGATTTTAATATACACAATCAAAATTTGCATGTATCAGTTTGAAAATATCGCATTAAATATATTTACTAGAGAATATTCACACGATTTAATATATATGTAAACACAAAATAATAAAACTAAAATATCCAAGCTAACGGAGCGAAATAGTCGGATAATTATATCAACAGTCTTGAAGAATATTATTAATTATTATTAAATATTAATAATAATAATTGAAATAATTATAATAAGTAACAAATTAACAGAAAAAAATATAAACAAATTAGCGAGACCTTCAAATGATTTTTGTCAAAGAAGGCCAAATCATAATATTGCTATTGTTGTTTATTCCAAGAAACAAAAATATAATCAAAAGAAACTGATATTAGTTGCAATTCGAATACCTATCGTTATTGGCATTGAAACAAACTTTTTCTGAGTTAATCGAGTGAAAAAATCTGAGCAGATAATTAATGCATGTGGTTTAGTGTAGAGTTTCTATTCTATAAAAATAAAAATTTGTTTAGATTAAACTAACCTCCCGGTGTAGTGGAGTAGAGAGTACCTCCAGGGGTCGACGAATAATCAGCGGGCAATTGATTTGCGTCGTGGATAACCACTCTCTTAGCAGGAATACTTTGGCTCTGCGTGGCTTGCCTGGCAATCGGTGATGCCGACATTTCGTCTTAATTTTTATATAGTTGTTTATATTAAACTGAACGAATCGAAAAAAGTTTCTCAACTTTTAAATGTTTTTCCAAGACAGAACAACTGAACCACAATGTTACTCAATAGCCTGCAGCGACAACGACGATGTGGTAAAAAAAAAACAGGCGTGCGTGTTCACAGGAAAACAAGAGACCACGATGTGTCGCTCTATTGATACTTCGGTAGAGAATCAAAGCCGTGTGCATTTGTGTACTGTGAGTTTTTACTCGAGGTTATATCCATGCATTTGGATGTATTTATTGATGTGTGGGGAACTAATGTGCGCGCGCACGCACGCAGTACGCAAGCGTATTGTTGTTTTCTACTTGGTTTTGTCTGCTGCGCACTGCGCAGTTACGTATAACAAACCCGCAGATATATATGTAGCAGCGCATCACGAAATATGAGAGCATACACCGGCACGGTATGACGGTAATCTGCCGTCAATATGACAGCACAGGATTAGAGAAAAAAATATGCTAATTTGAATCTAAATTTTTTGCGTCAACAAAACGTCAGCAATATATCGTTTTCATATGCCGTTGATAATGTGCCGATAGTTTGCAGACAATGCAATAGTACAATAATAATATAAATTTTATTTTTGTTATAATTGAGAAATAATTCTCAAAATATTTCTAAAAATATTACTTTAATGAAATACTTATATATAATTCTATACATTACTTGTATTTAAATATGCAAAAATAGATTTCCAATTTACCGCGCCTAAGTTTAAACATATATATATATATATATATAGGTTGGATTATTCTTGGCTATTTGGATTGACTTATAACCCTTAGGTTATGAATTTTTTTTTAATTTGGCACAATTGTTGTACACATAAAAATGAGATTTTTCCCAAATTTTGATGTCGATACATTAATTATATCAAAAGTTATTAACAATTAAAGAAAAATAATAAAACATTTTCAAACGGCTATATTTTAAAAACTAATAAAGATATCGAAGTCAGATTTTTTTTAAAATACTTATAATACCTTGAACTTTCGAAACAATTACAACAATAAAAATTTTTTTTCGAAAGTTATTAACTTTTTGTTTAAACAATTGCTAATATCTCAAAAAGTATATATATTTTTTGAAAAATTCTTGCTCCTGCGTATTCCTGAGGATTTTTGCTATCGAAATCAATCATAAAATTCAAGGGCCCGACATATCGGAAGGTGTAACCCTAATTATAAGAAAACGCCTCAGCGTAAGACCACGAAGACATCCCGCTGCCGTTGCGATGTACACCGAGGCATCTTATTTTGATTAAGGCTACGCTTTCCGATATGTCGGGCCCTTGAATTTTATGACTGATTTCGATAGCAAAAATCCTCAGGAATACGTAGGTGCAAGAATAAAAAAAAATATACTTTGTGAGATATTAGCAATTGTTTAAACAAAAAGTTAATAACTTTCGAAAAAATTTTTATTGTTTATTGTTGTAATTATTTCGTAATTATAAGGCATTATAAGTATTTTGAAAAAAATCCGACTTCGATATTAGTTTTTAAAATATAGCCGTTGGAAAATTTTTTATAATTTTTCTTTAATTGTTAATAACTTTTAATATAATTAATGTATCGACATCAAAATTTGGGAAAAATCTCACTTTTATGTGTGCAACAATTGTGCCAAATTAAAAAAAATCCGTGACCTAAGGGTTATAAGTCAATCCAAATAGCCAAGAATAACTCATATGTTGGAAGCCAAATGACATTCTGGAATTTACATGAATCCATACGATTTTCACGTAATAAAGCAATCAACACAATTTTGTACTATTATAACAAAAAAAATTTAATTTATTTAATCATTGACTTTTGGAAAATGAAAGTGACAAAGAAGTCCTCTGCAAGTTGAGCTGAAGTAAAGAAGAGAAGTGAAATTAAATAATATTAAAATAAACAGGTATATTCTTTCATCAAATCATTTATCTTCTTTTTTTTCTAGCTAATATTTTTTTTATAATAAAAATGTCTACTTTTATATTAATAAAATGGAAAATGAGTTAGTCAAGAAACAATTCCATAAATGAATATAAAAATCATCAAAATAATTAAAATATAATTTTGTAATTGAGTAATCGCTTTATATTTCTTATTGAAAGAATAAACTGGATTTATTTTGAACTTGATTTTTAATATTTGATTGAATAAAACAAGAATCTAATTAAAAATATGAAACGACTTGCGGATGGAAAAGTTCTAGTTCAATCATTCTTATTTCTTTATAAGAAATGTTCATAAACAAAATTATTATGAAATATTTAGGCCATCAATATGGTTTTTCAAAGATATCAGTAAGCCAAATTCTCAGTGGCTTGATAGTGAGATTGTGCAGAAGATTTATATGAATAATATTGTAACCAAAATAGAATAAAAAATCTTTTTTGCAAATTCTGAGAAATTCTAATTTATAGTTATTATTTACATATAAAACAATTATATATATTAATAATATGCATATTAATAAAATATATATTTTGAAAATACGTTTGAATACTATTAAAAAACGAAGTTCCTATATAGTTAATATTTCACTACTTATAACTGTAATACAACTGAATAACTGAAATAACTATAATAGCACACACAAAAACTTGAATATTTTTACACAAGGTAAAACAATTCACAGACAAGACTACATAAAGTACCTAGGTGTAACTTTTGATAGCAATATGAGATGGGACCTTCACTTACAAAATTTATACAAAAGAACCAAGTATTTAATCTTTATCTTTTACAAATTATCGAGAATAATGAGCACGAAAGTGCTCAGGATGATCTATTACGCCCTATTCCATAGCATTGCATTTTACGGAATTATTGCATGGGGAGGAGCTTACCGTGGTAGAATTAAAGGACTACAAAATTTACAAAACAGATTACTTAAAATAGTTAATAAAAATAAATTCATCATTAAGAAACAACCTCTTGATGTAGGAAAAACCTTCTCATTAGAATCACTACTATACCATTAGGATGATCTTTCTATAACATACAATAATAAAAACAAGAAACAACAGCCTACAAGTACCAAGAAGATTGAGACAAAGCAGTATCAAAAACAGTTATATTAGGGCTATTACAATATTTAATAAATTACCTAGAGAACTTAAATCAATAGAAAATTTACATACTAGGAAAACAAAATTCAAATTATAGATATAACAGAACCCATAAAACTTATTACACCGAGTAAGAAAACTAAAAAAGATAAATATAACTGCAAGAATTCACTCATATCATGGGAAAAATGGCAAAATGGAATTAAATATCCGACATCGGAAGTCCATGAGGATACAAATTTCCTAAACAACATATTACTAGATATTAGAACATACATACGAGGTGTGATCAAAAAGTAAGGTGAATTTTGAAATTTAGCGGGCTACGTCCGTTCGATCTTCGACTTTTTTATTTGGTTATGTCGGTACACTCGTCTAGAACATACGTTCCAAATTTCAGCTTTGTAGTATGTTTGGTTTGTTTGTGAGAGGCATCAAGGTTAGAAGTGTTTTGCGTGCTCCACGATTTGCTGCTGTCTAAAAACATGGATCAAAGAGTTTGCATTAAATTTTGTGTGAAAAATGGAATCAAATATTCCAAAACACTTGAAATGCTGAAAGTGGCATACGATGAGTCTACTTTAAGCCAAAAAAATATTTACAAGTGGTATAAACTCTTCCAAGAAGGCCGAGAAGACACCAACGACGGACCTCGTTCTGGACGCCCCAGCACATCAACAACTAATGAGAATGTTGAAGAAGTGAAGAAAATAGTGTTGGGAAATCGTCGAATTACCATTAGAGAAATTGCTGATGATATTGGCATCTCATTTGGTTCGTGCCAATCAATTTTGACGAGTGTTTTAGACATGAGATGTGTGTTAGCGAAGTTTGTTCCGAAATTGCTCAATTTCGACCAAAAGAAACGTCGCATGAGCATCGCCCAAGAGCTACTGAATGACGTCAACGATGATCCAGATTTACTCAACAGGGTTATAACAGGTGACGAAACATGGGTATACGGTTATGACGTCGAGACTAAGACTCAATCGTCCCAGTGGAGGCATTCTGGATCACCAAGACCAAAAAAAGCACGCCAAGTTCGATCAAATGTAAAGGTTTTGCTTACAGTTTTCTTTGACTGCATGGGCGTAGTGCATCATGAGTTCTTGCCACAGGGTAGAACAGTAAATAAGGAATATTACCTGCAAGTTATGCGCAATTTGCGCGAAGCAATCCGCCAGAAACGTCCGAATTTGTGGAACAATAAAAATTGGCTTTTGCACCATGATAACGCCCCTGCTCACACATCGTTGCTTGTGCGCGAATTTTTGGCTAAAACCAACACAGTAACGATGCTACAGGCACCGTATTCCCCAGATCTGGCCCCCTGTGACTTCTTCTTGTTCCCAAAACTGAAGAGGCCCATGAAAGGACGGCGTTTTGCCACGATTGAGGAGATAAAGACGGCATCGAAGGATGAACTAAACAAGATCACAAAAAATTATTTTTTGAAATGCTTTGAGGATTGGAAAAAGCGTTGGCACAAGTGCATTATATCCGAGGGGGATTACTTTGAAGGAGATAAAATAAAAATTGATGAATAAATAAATATTTTTTGAGAAAAATAAAAATTTACCTTACTTTTTGATCACACCTCGTATGTGCTAAAGGTAATTAATTAATAATTGTAACCTTCATAATAATAGATCATACTCTAGAATGATCATTTACAATTATAAAAAAATGCTAAACAGATCAACTGAAGAAATGGAAAACGTAATTAAGCTAACCAACAAATTCACTGAATCATATAATATAACAAGACCAATAAAACTGTTTCGTCCTCGATGCGAAAAAAAGCCTCGCACAAAAAAAAAAGAATCTGTTCTCTTCTAAAAGTATGTTTAGTCACGTTCGACTAATAATTTAGTAATATTTTTTGTAACTATCTGTAGTTTATGTTTGACCGACGAGTAGAATATTCTAATCTCTCTCAAATGTACAGCACATGTCACACAGCTGTTTATGACAATAGAGCCCTCGTCACTCCGAACGTTTATGATACCCACTATAATAAAAAAAGGTCTTGACAGTATCTCAACTAATAGTTTCTGTGTTGAACTGACCGTTTCCCTTTCCAACAAATACATTCTCAATTGTAACCGCCTACCTCCTTCCTACTTCACTATTTAGCCAATGGCAAATGAATTTTCTGAAAATTCAAAAACTAAATACACCCACTAAACTATCATTGAGTCTGCTGCGACAGACAATAACTAGATTCTCACCAAGCTTTGCGAGAGCAACAGTCGCAGCATGTCTGCTCTGCTCTCTTATACATTTTCACTGTTCACTTTTCTTTTATTAAATAGAGTTTTAGGTTAAATTGTGTTAACTTTACTTTATCTTATCCTCTACAATTCATTTACCTATATAAGGTAAAACTATATACAGAAATCTATATACCCAATACAAGGCTCTGTAATAACTGCTACCTAGTATATAACTGCTACTACGGTTACGGTATGGTTACGGTACGGACACTCAAAAATCGCCTGAAAATCAGAACATATCTCGCTGGTTATACTGCGGTAACAATCAATCTACTAATTTTTGTTAAGATAATGAAAGAAAAAAAAACAATATTTGTTTTTACTGTCAACAAAAATATCTTCCTACTAACAACTACCTCATCAAAGCATATAAATAAACGTTTTATTCAATTTCTGTACGGAAAACAAATTAATTAAAAATAAAAATCAGAGCTTAAAGAATTTGAAAATTCTAGATACTCTTGTCCAACTACTCTGAACTACTATGAATTACGTTTCATACGAAGAAATCGTACATAAAAGCTTCTTCAACGTATCAAGTTCCCTCATATACTCCTATATAACTATGAAAACTAAGCACCAATACTTTCAATCTTACTTCGCCTTAAACAAATCACGATCCCCTTTCCTAAGAATCATCAAAAAAGTCTTATGAACCATAGTAGTAACTACAGTTTAAACTATAAGCTTATATACCACAAAATGATGACTATACATTTAACAATATATATTAATCGTTCATGAAGAATGTTCTAACATTATCACTAACTTACTACTAGATCTAAACGTTAATCAATATACTCATCTATGTCAAGTATCTCTCTAATTCACCCTTACTCTCTTAATCTTTTAAACTTCCTTTAAAAAATATTTACTCAACTTAACATTCCTACACGAATTTAGTCAATTTGACAATAATAATAATATTAATAATTTTGTATGGTGGTAACAAAAGGCAAATCCTTATTGGATGTTGTGTCGGACTCCCTTCATCATCAGTTTCAATCCCGGTATACCACTATTAAAACATCGTGAATCCAGACCTACCGACAAAACACTCCACTCTGTGATTCCAAAATCGAAACTTCAACCACGGAATCTTAACTTCTACCTTTGTCCTCCCTCCAACGTGGTACCGCGTTAGCATTACTTCTCCGTTGGAGGATCTGTTCATATTGTACGTATCGTCTGTTTGTCCGTCTTACCATCCGCAGCTCTTCTGCATTCCTTCACATATTTACTTGTTTATTCAAATATCCTTCTTCTTTCTTATACTTCCGTAGCTGAGCTCCCAGAAGCGAATAATAAATTTGCCGCATCTCGTGCTTCACCTTTCAACGACTCGTACAATCGAATAGTATTACCAGCCTCGTCAATTTGACCTTTTTCAGTCAAAGTGTTATAAATACTTATAATAAAAAATACGTATCATATACAACTTGTAACAAATCTGTTCAGTCGATGACACTCAACAATAAAGGTTCATAATATATTAATCATATATAATTCTTCTTTAATATACAATCATTTTCTTTAACTGTCTATTACGTATCAGCTTTCTTATTAATATAAATCATTTTCTAAACAGCTGAATTAAATTAAAAATTTTTAATTAAATAGCCATATTGATAAAAATCGTATAATTAATTTCCGTTAAACAGTTACATAGCATTTTAAAGAACTATTTTCCAAATGAAAAAATCGATAAATCAACAGGATTTTCTTCAACATTAGAAACAGGTACTTCCGCAACAAGATTGCCAAATGACCCGAATTCGATGGAGATGTTGCTACCTAATCCTCAAGATGAATTCTCCAGTGAGTCAAAAATCTTTTAACAACCATCGATGCACTCTTAATTTGTTCCGTCTGGTTTTCTTTTCCACTATACACAGATACACAACCGATGATGCAATGAAATTTCGGTAAATTACGCGAAACTCAGCGTAGCAGTCAATTTATACCGTTTGCGGTCAGAATCGTTGACGGAATTCAAGGATTAATTCAATTATAATTATAGTATTATTAGGATATCATCTTACAAAATATTTATTTCATAATCGATCGTCTTATTGCTTATGTTAAACTAAAATTTTTTAAACAAACAACTGACAACGCTGTAATGTATGATAATCTAAACTATAATAAATTATTAATATTAATCTTAAGTATTGACAACATACCTGTAAATATTTAATATATGTATCCTCCGATAAGCATATATCTATTTATTTATTATACAAAGATAATTGCTTTTATTATGTTTATTTATAATAAGGTGGTATAAAAATATTACATCGGCTTGCTACTCTGAGTTGAATCTTAAAGCTAATAATATTTATTAATATAAAGAAGATAACGTAGGACTTGATATTCGTAAATTTTATAAGATATTCAAGCTAAAGCTAAATAATGAAAGTCCCGAAGTTTGCATTGGAAAAAAGTATTAAGATTAACAGTCAAAATATTATCCAAAGCTATATCTATTTGAATGTGCTGCGCAGTTACGGACAACGTGAACGGATAAGCTACACTTAGAGAATCGGACATGCACGCCGCTCTTGCACTACTGTACTCGTTGCTGTTGTTAAAGCTGCGTTTGTTCGGGTGTAGCGTTGCCTAGCTGGATCTGCTGCGGGCTGGCGAATCTCGCATTGAAAAGCCGAGCAATATGAGCTTGATGCACGCTCTGCTGATCCCCTATGTTGTGCAATGCTTGCACGTGTGCATGTTGAGGGTATTCTACGCCGACAAAATCTGTGTGATTTGGAAAAAAACAGTTATTTGAAGTAAGCGCGTCTTTTGCTTTTTGCCAAAAAAACTGCCCACATGTGGAATAATGAGCAATATATCTCAGAGCTTTCATTCGAATTCACGCGAATCATTAATTATGTCCGAGCAGAGTTTTAAATTTCACCAATCGCGGTTTCATTTTTTTTTAAATATCTAATTATCAGTTTCGTATAAACTTTACAAATCTTAAAATATTTGTCATTTATTTCGAGAGTAAGCGGCTTATTTTATCAAAAACTATTTATTATCTTTTTAATTAGAAATATGGTAATTAAATTCTGTACGTGAGTTTAATTTGCGTTCGCAATAACAACAATGCTTTTAAGTTTTTCTAACGATACTTGTTACTGGAAGGTAAATTTACCAGGAAAAGCTTGTACTTGTTGATATTGCTGTAACTGTTGTTGATAGGCCAAAGCCAAAGCTTGCTGTGTTTGTGGATGAAAGCGTCGTTGAAAATCATTTTGTTGTCGATGATAAGCAGCTACTGGTGGACTTGCAACAAATGCTGACGAGAGAATAGGTCCACCAGTTATACGTGCATAGCCTGAAACTGCATATTCAAATATTGTTTGTACCTACTATCTATCGTCTTATATTATAGTCTCGTGATAATGAGCCTCGAAGATAAATGCTTATCTTCAATAGTATAAGTAATGTACTTAGACTATAATAAGTAAGTGATAAAAATAATATAAACGCGTTTTTTCATCATTCTAAAATAAGTGTATCTCATGATATTTCGAATTTAGGCGAGCTATGAAACTAGCTTTTGAATGAACTCTCGTAATTTAAAAATTTGCTTCCTCAAAAAAATTATGATTCATGAGGTTCAAAATAGTGATACAAGGTACACCTATCTTATTTTTATAAACTAGTGATGTTTAATACACGTGACGCACTCATTATTTTTTTGTATTCGTTTTAATATCTTTATAAGCATAATTGAAAATAAAAAATGCAGTATGTATTAAATATTCCCATGACTTCAAAAGATACGTAGCCGTCGATATTATATATTGGTAAATAAAAATTTAATAATGTTAACAGTTGATACTCATGATTTAAAAATGCTATAAATGAAACTTTAAGTTTTTATCGTACGATGTTCTGTGTTGAAAAATTATCAAAAACTTTCAAAAAACTAGAAAAAAATGTAATATAAGTTCTGAAAATATTATAGTTATCTATAATTATATTGCGCATCCTTCACAATATAAATAATAGACTTCGATAGACTCAACTTTGTTAGCTGTAGTATTTAGTGTATCCTTAGACAATTTTTCTAATATTTTACGGAACGAAATAAGCCGAAATCATTGTACAATGTTTTTATATAGATAATCTATCAATTTATATTAGGTATTGTTTATTTTGTTCATTTGAAGCTAAACTTTCCAATAAAGTAAAGTTCAATTAAGTTCTCTAACGAAAAATCAGCTGGTTTTTATTTTAGGCAAGTTAAATAATCAAATGAATTAAAAATAATAAATTAAAATTAAAATGAATTAATAAACATTCTGCTCTTCGAAATCTTTCATAAAAATAACTTACAATCTTTTTTTTAATCATTAGTAATTAAATCACATAGTTCATATGAAATTCGTGCCTTCGAACATTTAATCGTCTGCGAGCATCTGTAGAAATATTTTATAAGCGTATATAACGCATATAACTATCATATAATACGTCTGATCACGTGATTATCTTTCAGCCAATCAGATCGCGAATAAACTGTCTTCACTTTATTAGGTTCTCTTTTTTTATACTTGAGGAAAAAGGACTACGAGTGTCAGCAGTAATCTTTTATGAGCGTACATAACATATGTATAACTATCATGTAACGCATTATTTGATCATGTTACTATCTTTTAGCGAATCGAATCACGAATAAACTAACTTCACTTTGCCAGTTTTTCTTTTTTATAAAATTAATAAAAGAACTGTTTTTTATAACAATATTGATTCGACATAAATTAAATGAATAAAAATTCTTATTTAATTAAATGAATAATTAAATAAATAAATAAACGCTCAGACGCGCTTTAATGCCTAATTTTTGTTACGTACATTCTTTTTCAGCTCACATTAAAGGTATTCTGTCATACATATTAAATACTAATTGGTGTTTATAAATGGTGATATCGAAAATAAACTGTTTGGAGGTTGGATAGAAGCAAAGCAATTTAGTGCAAGTCTGTACTGCAGGCAAATGAGTTGCCCGTGGCTTCTGCGAATAGTAACTAGCAAAGTGAGTTCACGACAATACAGAGAAAAGAAAATCGAAGCTATAATCTACTGTCTAAAAAAGGTGATGTATGCTAGAAGTTATCGTGAAGATAGAGTGATGGAATAGTATTAAAAGGATGACGAAAAAGCAAGTTTGGTGAAAATGAGATACATACCTAGTCCAGGATTACGATAAGCGAGGGCATGAGCGACACTGGGCAGCACTCGGTGCGCTAGATGTGGATCACCGACGCTCGAGCTGAATGACTGATGCGACGCTGGCCCGTTGAAAGCAAATGCAGTCTGCGTGAGGCCTGGCCTCACAAAACTGAACGACGCGTGCTGCTCTAAGCCACCGAGCACATTCGACGGCCTTATACCATTCGCTGACGCTAGCTCGCTACTAGTACAGCCCGTCAATACGCCGAGCATCAACAACCCACACTTCTGCAATATAAATGAGTGAAATGAGTACGTTCGACAACGTGCCTGATGTAGTCTGCTGTGAACACTTTCTTTTTTATTTCACTAGACGTTACGTTAACAGCTAATTTTTCGCTTCGATGAATTTATAATCGCATTATTCGCTTTACTAATTGTATTATTAATTTGACATTCACTTTGCTCCTGTGTTCGTGCTTCTCTTGTTAAATAAATCATATATTGCACGTTTAGTGTAAATACCACCGGAGACTGTTACTGATGGGAGTTGTTGAGCTAAATTCTTAATAGTATACATGTTACATGACATATACGCATAATAGATGTGATGTATTTTTTCATAATATCGTCAAACTGACACTGATTTATAGAATTCTGAATGATTTGATAAATTATTGATTATCTATTGAGCCTACTAATTTAATAGAGATTTGTGGAACTACCTTTCACGTAGGCTTTTGATCGAGTACAATGAGACGTTCGAATAAGATCATCGCAAACTCTGAGGAAGTCTGTACGCTTTATATTTTCTATGTTCAAGTTATGATGATCATCAAGTATATGCGCCAAGTGACTATGTTCGATCTTGGAATGTACTGTAATAGATTCTTTATGTTTCAGGCAACGCAAAAGGAAAGCCAAGAGACTTTCGGTATACTGACATGAAAGCATAATCATTCAACCGAGACATGTTTTAACCACAAACCACGACTGAACATTGAATAGAGCTCTGGTAATCGTAAATGAATTCACGCAAGCTTTTTCCATATTATCTGTCATAGTAAAAATGCTACCTTTATTCCGTTACGATAGTTACAAGGGCTATATTTACGAAATATGCACTATACATAGACCATGAGATGAATTCGACAAATTCTTGGCGACTGTGCGATTCTCGCCTCTCAAGAGATTTCATCTCATCACGTGTGCATCGTACTGCTTCTCTCTTATCTCCGAAATTTTATTTTTTATTATATTTTCTACTCGCAAATTCACTTGAGTGCTTCACTTCCATCTTTTTAGCTTTATTACGCGGCTTTTAAATCACTGATATTACTTTTTTTAGATCCTCGTCACTTCTTGGAAATATAAGTTAGGCATAAGTAATATACACTAGTGTAAGTTATGTGTTCAACTCTTTGTCTGTCTTATATTTATTTAGCATTCTACTAGCCCATTTCTACGCGGATCTCTTATTTTATGCTAATTAGCATGTGAATTTGAAAATTATCAGTTGCATTCGTCATCCGTTATCATGCCGGTTTTTTATAATTAAAATTCGAAAATTTATGATTAATATTTCTATTATAATACTATTATCTCTGCTACTGTATGCAATACGTTTTTTACTCAACAATACATAAGTATTTCTTTAACATGCAATACATGCATTTCTAATTAGCAATGAATGTACAATACTATTAGATTTGGTACAGCAGCTTGTACTAATGTTTTTTTTTCACGCGAAGTTTTACATACAGATCAGAATAGCTTGAATCCATCTACAGTGTTTGTAAATGTTTTGTATTTTCAAACGTAATAAATTCCAAACAAAAAATCTTTAAACTTATTACAAGGAATGTATTACAGAATTGTTAAGTTAATGTGAAAGAATTGAAACGTATCACTCGTATAGTTTTCATCATTTGAATTATGTGTTCAAAAAAAGCTACATTCGAATATTTTCTCAAGTTAAAAGAATTGAATATTGCGCTCGATTGTAAATGTAGAAAATACATTAAAAAACCGATTCATTGACCTATAACGAGGGCAAAATTATTCAGATAGATATAATAATAATAAGAAAATATTCTTTGCTGTTTCTTCGGCTTTCTGATGTTTTATTGGAAAGAAACCATATATTATTATTACGTGTAATTTGAAAATACTTATAAGATAATTACTAAATAGTTTTCAATAAAATACTTAAAAAATTTCGGTAGATCATAGCCGACGAAACGTCGTAAAGAATATCTGAATATTACAAAATGACACGCAGATAAATAGCAAATACCTAAAGTTTAAAAATAAATGGAAGGTTGATGAGGGATTCGCAATCGGACGCTTACTAAAGCAAGCAGGATAAAGAACATCGAGCAGTTTAACGGAAAAGAGATTTACGCGTGGCAATACACTTTTAACAATAGTCCTCTCTGAGCAAGATTGAACGGTAGATATTTAATTAAATTAGTTCGTTCAGGATAAAACGTGAAAGACCTTTGTCCTCGAGGTCTCAAATGAATTTTCCGATGAAAAGTAAAATCGACAACGCGTTGCGTTTCTACGCCGCAGTTTGAAATACGTAAAACCGAACGGCAAAAGCAAACATCGCTGCACAGAGAGTGAAATACACAATGATGGTAGGAAAGCAATGGTGAAGCCCGCGTTGACGTTACAAGGCGAAAGACTGATATGGAAAAACATTGCTGTGGACTCACCAGTAAATTTTCAGCCATCGAAACAATACGGAACACCCGTCCAAGCAGATAATAAAGTTTGGTTCCTAAGCCTCGCAGCGACGATGAATATCGAGGCTCAATTCCAGAAGCCGGCCAAGTCGTGGAACGTTAAATACCTCGGAAGCTATCCGACCTCTACGTGATCCGAATGTCCGGGTTCTCCGTTCATTTTTCGAACCTCTCTCTTTTGCACACCGCCTTTCTATATCTGTCTGTCCCTCTTCTCCCTCTATTTCTCCCTGCCCCCTTTCTCGTGTCCGTGTCGCGGCCACCTCCTCCCCTCCTTACAAGTATATTTAAAGACAAATTTGCAAGCTTCTCTCCAAATCAAATGTCCTCTTATTTTTCCTAATTCTTTGCATATTTTACGTTTGTCTTGTACTGTTATTACCAGAAGCAAATAATTTTGTTTTCATAATCTCTTGTTTCGCCAAAAACATTGAAATTAAGCTTTCTGGTGCGTTTCACTTATTAACAAAATACCGTGCACTTGTCTTCAGCATTTTGTATGATTATTTGATAATCGTTTGTCTTTGATAAGCCCTCGCGATTCTTTATGCAAGTTCTTAGCTTTTTAACTGATTGTATTCCATTACGCTTTATTTGATTGTAACAACATATATATAGTTTCAGATATTATAACCAAAATAGTAAGCAGTTTGCATGCCTATTTTATTAATAGATAAATGTGATAAGTGTGTATTTGATAATGAATATTATTTAGCTTTCATTAAAAAAATCTTTTTCTAAACTTAACTATTTATACGTCATGATTAAGATTGTTACTGTATATTTCGTATTTTCATAATCTGATAACGGTGCAAAATGATTTAATGTTATACATAAACGGTAGTAAATTTTTATGATAATCTTTGTTCTTTCGGTACTCTTAATTCTTTAAGAAGCTTTCAAAAATAAAATATGTACATGGCCTAAATGAAACTTTGAGATAGATCTTCAAATTATTAAAACGATGTTTAGTCAATCTTACATCGTTGCAGATAAAATACGAGTATTTGTATATTTTAATACCTTAATTATCAATTGATTCAATATTTAGTCTTTTATTTCCTAACATTTTGACAATATTCAAAAATTACTGGACGTTCTATAAATGATTATCAGAACATTAAATTCTAACATTTATTTATCGAATAAAAAACAAATATTTGTATAATTGCCTTTTCTGTAGTAATTGACGTATTTAATGAAAGAAATTTTATATATACCTTGAAATTTTGAATATTCATATCATTTAAAATTTATTATATTATTATTTATACATTTTATATATATATATATACCTTTAAAATCTGGAATATTTATACCTTTTAAATAAAAATCTATACTTAAATGCAGTATAAATATTATCTCATAAGTCCCCAATATTATCAATTTATAATCGATAAGTTATGCAAACTCAAGAAAGACTATAGTTACTATTGGAAATTAGTGAAAGTGACTTTCATCTGATTAATTAAACTTGCACGACCACGACCGTAGTGCATGAGCGTACTGCTTTGGATTCATTGCATGAGGCCTTTAAAATAATGTATTTTGTTTCCATTCTTTATTCAAATTCCTAATAATATTTTTCTTCGATTAAATACACCTATTTTGTCTATGAAACATTATTTATCACAATTTTCCTCAGTCAATCTCTTTACAGAATAAAATTATATTTACCAGAATTAAAAATACAATTATGCATTTGTAAATTCCCTAGTTTCCTTAGATCAGAATTCTTAATTTTTTATGAACAGCAGAAACATTTATTTTAATAAGTATTAAATATGCAGAAAAACTGTAAAGAAGACTATTGTTTATGTTGATTCGAATGTTTAAATAAAGAAACAGATTGTTTAATGAACACAAATTATTTACAGGGAATTGTATGAATTTACAATGACTGATATAATTGGAAAATTAAACAGTAACGTGAACATGATTACATAACGATTGCATAAATAACTTACTAGAAATATTGTGACATAAAAGTACGAAACTAGTGATTTTTATAACTTTTCAGTGTTGAAGGACATTTCCAACTAAATAATCCGGAAAGAGAGGTATAAAATATTTTGATATAGAAAATCTTTCAATAGAAGAATGTGCAAAGATATAAGACAATAAAAGACTAAATCCGAAGTACGTTTTTGAGTGAGTAATTAGGATGAATATATCTGTACAAAATTTATGTATTTAATTGAATTTAATTAATTTGACGCAATTGATTTACGTGTAATGCACAGATTTAGTGAAAAAAATGAGCAAACACCACAGGGAATCATCTCGCGTATCATCCAAAAAGCGACTGGACTACGCCCCCCCCCGCGACTTCATCTGTATATGTGCACGTGTTTTAAGATCACGCGTTATCGTTTGTGTGTGTTTGAATGCATATATTCACATATATTATTTTTGGTACATACATATATACTGATTATTAATTTATAAAATAGTAGAGTAGAGGGGAGGGGGTAATAGCAAATATACACATTGTTTTTTCTTAAATAAATTTTTTTTTATTGATAAAAAATAAATCTTATTCTACAAGTCATTTACATTAAAAGATTATTCATAGAAATCCTTCAATAATTTCATCGCTTTCTTCCCAATTCATGCAGCAACCATTTAAGTAAAACTTTTTCATAAATTTGACATTTTGATGTGCGCACGCCGATTCGTATTTACCGTTATGATTAGGACACACAGTAACTGATTTCATATTTTCAAAAGGGGAATATCCTCAATCATTCATTGGTTCACTAGTCGAGGGTGGGGGTTATGCAAGAGCACTGATTTTGTCGCGCGCGTAAGTCGAATATGATTAGTAGTGGGAGTAGCTAAGTCTAAGGGGGATTATGCGGAGTAGCTTGGCGTGGGTATATTAATGTGTTCTTAGTCGTGCGTACGCTTTTCACGCAGCAGGCAAGACATAAACGTCAGTTCAACGGCTTTTCACACACAGCAGACCAGTCGTAAAATTTAACGAACAGGCCATGGGTGGTGTAGCTGCAACGGCTTTTTTTGTGAGGACCATTTTTTCAAGACGATCGCACAGCTATTCCAACGTTCAATTAAAATATAAAACAGCACTTTTCAGTGCTAAATAACGTATGAAAAAAATATTTGTTCAATAAATAAACGAATTATATTTGAAAAATTTATTAAATTTTCCATAAAACAGTACTTTTTAGTGCTAAATAAAAAAAAATTATTAAAAACTTTGTCTAGTGTTTTTTCTTTTTCCCAATCCAATTTGCAGCAAAGTCAATAGATAAGTATAAGGTAGGTATTTTTTAATTACCGTTTCGTTGAAAGTCTGTCTTATTTTTATAAGAAATTCTAATTACATATACATGGCCACAAATGACATTTTTGAACAATCTTTACCAATTTTTATAGATTTAACCTATTAAGGACGGGACGGACACTTTTTCGTGTCCAACTTCAAGCTACCACCAAGCCAATAATTTAATTGCAAACAAATTCGCGAACTACCGTTTCCTATGTTTTTAAGTATGTTCTTTCCGATTATGACACTTAATTTTTTCAAAAATTAGTTTTTTCGTGTACAATTTGAAAATTAAAAAAAAAAGCACTGATTTTTTGGAAAAAAAAATTTTTGTGATCGAAATTTGTTTGCCTTTCGATTTTTTTATGGGCTTAAAATTCATAAAAAAGGTGTCCATGATACCTTAACTAAAAAATATCGGCCCTACGAAAACCCAAATATATATATTTTTTAATAAATTTGCGTAAATAAACAAAAATTTCATTCACTAACTTCACCGATTTTTATCTCGAAAACTATCGACTTTCATGAAAAGTATATAAGAACAAAAAATTTTTAGAATCAGTCAAGGAACACGTCTGAATTTTTTTAGATTTTTGGGGACCATTTTTGGTTTTTTCGAAAATGGCCATTTCCAAGGCGATCGATTTTGTTCCTACTTTATCATCATGAACTAAATTTCGAAGAATTGACGCATTAGTAATTAATGATTATACCAATCTTAATAATATAGGCCACATCCACTTTTTCGATCTGAAAGAAGGATATAAATTGCTGCAGTGAGCATCATGTTGATCAACTCCACCCATTGTACTCCAATCATTGTACTGTTTCACAACTTTAGGAACTGGCAAACCTACTTTAGAGTAATCTTTTGAAGAATATGCGTACAAATCTGTTTTTCAAAATCACGCAGGAATATATGACCTGCTTACATTGGAAAACTACGGGAATTTTGATATTTTGAAAATTTTGAAAAAAATTTTTGATATTTGATAATTTTGAAAAATTCAGACGTGTTCCTTGACTGATTCTAAGCATTTTTTGTTCTTATAAACTTTTCATGAAAGTCGATAGTTTTCGAGATAAAAATCGGTGAAGTTAGTGAATAAAATTTTTGTTTATTTACGCAAATTTATTAAAAAATATATATATTTGGGTTTTTGTAGGGCCGATATTTTTTAGTTAAGGTATCATGGACACCTTTTTTATGAATTTTAAGCCCAAAAAAAAATCGAAAGGCAAACAAATTTCGATCACAAAAATTTTTTTTTCCAAAAAATCAGTGCTTTTTTTTTTAATTTTCAAATTGTACAAGAAAAAACTCATTTTAGAAAAAATTAAGTGTCATAATCGGAAAGAACATACTCCAAAACATAGGAAACGGTGGTTCGCGAATTTGTTTGCAATTAAATTATTGGCTTGATGGTAGCTTGAAGTTGGACACGAAAAAGTGGCCGTCCCGTCCTTAATGGGTTAATTATATTACAGAATATGAATATTTATTAAAGATGATAAATCGATAGAATACAAAACGCGCATAATGACTAGTACTCTCTGAAAGAATGGCTACGGTTCAAGCGGCATAGCGTAGTCGGGCGAACGCATAAGGAGCGCGAGTTCGATTCCCCTTGTAGTATTGATATATATTTTTTTATTAATACTATAATTGTAATTAATGATAGATATCGTTTTATTTTTAAGAATTATTTATTTAAATATAATTAAATATTTAAATATAATTCAATATATAATATCTTTTTTCTGTTAGAGATTTAATCCTGAACTGCTATGTGGGGTAGATTTACCCCAGACAATTTTTAACAATAAATAAAATTTTTTTTT